GGGGGGGGGGGGGGTTTTAAAACATAAATTCCATTCCAACTATTATGGGAAACATAGAAAATGGTGAAATAAAGAGATAATATGGCTAAAATATTGGCACTTATCCAGACCCGAATGAAGCCATAAACGTAAGATTTATGCTCTGTTTGGACCAGGAAAGAAATTATTTGAAATTCTTAATTACGGCTTCCTTTTTAAAGCATTTTTCCTATTCCCCTCCCAAACAGAGCTTTAAAGATAACGTTCCAGGTATGCATCCATGCGGATGTAATTAACCTCCGGATAGAGCTCTGAAGCTTCTTCTCCTTCTTCCCCTATTTCAAAGTTTGTCAGACAACCTTCATAAAATATGTGGTAGTAATGCCCAGCTGCTGCTTTATTTCCATGCTCCAATCCTGCATCATATAAATACAGAAACCAGTGTTAGATAGATAAAACTCATATATCTATATCTATCTATATATATACATACTATTAATAAAAGTACAATTTTGTTTGAATATTTTATCCCAAAAATAAAAAATAATGACAATATTAACCATATTTGATGTAAAACTCATATTAATAAACCTTGATTAACATTAAATTTTGTTGGACTACTTTACTCTTAAAAGAAAGCATAAATGCAAACTAACCTCATTAATACGAAATTCATTAGTATTTATACATATCCAAAATTTTCATCTTCTTTTAATACTATGAATGCTCAGGATTACAAAAATTTGCTTATCATAACAAACTTAATTACTTATTTTACACACTAAAACGAACGCCACAAATATGAAAATGACATGTCAATTTGTGTGAATAAGAAATAGGTCAACTTCGTGGTAGACATGAATAACCCAGTTAGTTAACTGGTATAGTAACAAAAGATTGTACTATAATTTATTTATTTATTGATCTAGTATCATATGAATGATTTCAAAATTAAAAGGGGTGCTTGCACTTCTAATCTTCTGATTCACAATTTACACAAACATTCCATGAAACACAAAAAAACACGACTTTATTAAGAGGGAAGAAAAAAAAAAGATGATGGAACTTAAGCAAAATGGTTAAGAGAGAATCTGGGTTTTAGTTTTACATACCTTTCATGGAAGCAAGGAAATCTTCTGCAGAGATGCTAACCTTTTCAAGTTTCTTCCCTATAAGCTTCTCCCACATTTCAATCATCTCCATTTGGGAGAGGATGTTCTCTGGTGGCTGAAAGTACAAGGTTTTGTTCAATGTACGAGGGTCATCTATGCTCTTAATCGTGTATGTAGCAACGTCGTCTTCGTCCAAATTGATCACTGTATATAAACAACAGGGCCGGGTAATAGTTATAACACCAATTGTAATGCACTAAATAATCGTTGTAATATGTTTTCTAGTGTGGACTTAACTCATGTTACCTTGAAAAAGAGTTATATCACAAAAGTCCGAAACTCATGCTTATTAAAAAACCCCCCACAAAATTTACCAAGCGAAATGATATGTTCATTTGATCTGGACGTACAAGTGAAATATGGGGAGGAAAGGTCTTGTTTAGCAATAAAACATTCAAACCACAATAAATATTTCAGCTACATAAAAAAAAAAAAAAAAAAGTGATTTGCCCGAGATATCCTCCTAGTGTGTATATTTGTACCTTTGACATTGCCGTCTCCCCACAAGCGTACTTTATCTCTTGGAGGGACTAGTGAACCAAATTGAGCAAGGTTACCAGCAAAGAAAGCTGCAAAGCAGTTGGCAGAGACATAAGTGAAAGGGATCTTAGCATCTTCAATGGCTTTCCTTACTTTCATTTTCTCTTCAAATGGCTCATTTCCTGGTTCAAGTGCATTCCCCATTCTTGCTGGGTCCATACCGAACTCTGACGGCAAGAAACGCTACAAAATTTATGGACAATGTTGTTAGAATTTGAGCTCATATACATACAATTGATTTGAATTCAAACCCAACTCAAAAATTTAAGTTCAAACTCAAATAATTAAAATTTATTAGAAATCTTATACAAAAATTCCATTTTTGTTGGATTCCTTTTCTATGTATGATTTACTAGGTTTTTAATTGATACCATTAATTGCTAGGATCTAGTGCATATGATTCAAATCCAACCTAAAAATTTACGATAAAATTCATATCATAGTCATTTGTGCCAATCTTACATATAAATTCCATTTTGTTTTATTTTTCCGCCTATCTAGCTAGTGTGGGGGAAAACACTAAGGCACCAAAAAAAGTAAAATTTTGACACCATACGAAACATAAAAAACACTCTGAAATGTTGGAACATAGTTCTGATACCACTCGTTGAAATATAGCTCTGATACTACTTGTTGGAACATAACTCTGATACCACTTGTTAGTTTTGTACAGCGGATAAGTAACACAAATAATACTTGTTGGAAGATAAGAATTCAAATACAGGAAAATAATAAAAACATGACACAAAGATATAACATGGTTCAATACAACATACCCACATTGATATACCGTACCTACATTCACAGATCAAAAACCTACATCGATGTATTATTCACTAAAAATTGGTCATCGAGTAACTGATTACATAATACACACCTTTATTTATAAAAATAAAATATTGTAACCAAAACTTGTTAAGATACAACTTAATCTTTATATTTTCATTCATATGTCTAATAGACCTATCTATGGTATATTAAAACTCCTTCAATATGTTTCCTATTCTATTTGGGGTTTTTACATTGATTACCCAACAAATTTTCTTTCATAACAATTTAAAAATTTTTGTTAAAGGAAAACTGTTGAAATTTGACACAAGTTCTACACAAAAAGTGATAAACCACCCTACCAAAAAAAAAAAAAAAAGTTAAGTGAACCCAAAAGATGAGTGTACTCTAAAAATTAGTAAATTTTGGTCATGTGGCTGAAACAATTCACTGCTATAAAAAGGCCAGTAAACGTTATACCTTAATGTTTCCGGCTTCTTTGATGGCCTCAACCAGCTTAAGTTGCATGAGAATGTTGAGACCCCGGTGATGCACGCCGGACATGGTGCAGATGACCACGTCCACTTGTTTCACCGCATTCACGAGACTCTGGTGATTGGAAAACGAGCCCTCGATGAGTCGAGCACCTTGCTTCTTGAACGAGAGCAGCAACTGCAGCTTGTCAATGTCCAGGCCGATCTCTGGCCTCTGGAGGACAGAGGTTGGGTGTCCCTGGGCTAGGCTGGCCTTAACTATCCTCCTACCAATAAACCCTGTGCCCCCCACTATTAGAACCTTGCTCTTTGCCATTGGATCCTATTATTTGTCTTGTAGGAGTTGAGAGGAACTGAAGACTTTATAGAAAGAAAATGTTGGTCATGGTTGTGCTTTGTTTTGTACATAATATATAGATCAGTGAAACAATCACTACCTTAAGTTGCATGATAGGTTGTGATAAGTCTGTATGATCGACCCTCCCTTTTTTTTTTTTTTTTATTGTAATTAATCCCTCAAAAATCGTAGATTTCGGTACCTTGTCATATCCATGAATTATGATTTTGGATAGGTTTACTTACCACCAAAAACTGTAATTTCCTTGTAATTTCATCTTTATCTTATAGCCTTATCTCTTTGTCCATGTATATCAGTAAGTTGATACTTGATAGATAATTTGTGGATGATTATGTAATGAATTGTCTACTCCTTGCTTTTTATATTCAAATGGGTTGCCTTTGTCAAGCTTTGGAGGCATCAATTGTTGTCTCCTATCTCCCACCTGCTAAAAGTTATGTCATCGGCTGTCAGATTCATCAATTAAAAGAAGAAGAAGAAGTTGCTTTTATACCCTTCTTCTTGATGTCAATAAAATCGATTAATCACCTTTTTCTGCACATCTCGAGAGAGACAGAGATTGTAGTATTTTACTTTTAATGGACCACTGACGAAAGAAGGAAAAAAAAAAACCCAATTTTTTGAGGATAAGAATCCTTCCTGTAGTTTTTTTCTCCATATTTTCCTGAAAAAATATCTCCTGATGGTACCAGCAGGAATTGAAGACTAAGGATAAGATATTGATTTAACCTCACAGGCTCTGATTTGAAACAGGCCATGGGCGATATTTTGTTGGCTTTATTCAACAAAATTGATTGGTCATGATCAGTTTTATCTATATATTTAAGGAAGCAAAGACCTTCATAGTTTCTGGTTGACAAATAACCCAATGTGAATCATGATTTTGAATATAAAAATCAATGTCACATCACATATTCAAATTCATTAGTTGGACATTGGTCTCATATAAC